GTGAAAAGGGTGCTAAATTGCCGGAAGAAACGGCCGAATTACTAGAACGTCAACTCGACGCTGAAGAAAATGCTACCGAGCAAAATGAAGCAGAAACGCTTAATACAATGGACATGAATCAGGGTTCTGAAACATCATTCGAGGAAAGTACTGAGGTATTTCTTGATGATAATTTCATTATTTCCAACTGATTCGATTTAATGTGTACCGCTATTTAATGTTTTACTCGTATGTGATTTTTCGGCGATGTATTAACAGTGTGCTGATGTTTAAGAAGTCCTATTACTATATGAAGAATTCATGCGTTAATCTTGAAATGAACCACCATTATTTTTTAGGTCTTGCATTTCATGTTTTCGGTGATATAACACAGCGGCTTAATTGAATAATGGAATTCTTGCGAAATGTAGTAAAATAAAGAAGAGAAAGTTTATTTTAGAAACTTGTTTTAATAGCGTTTAAAGGAAGGTCAGACAAGAAATTATGTGACAAGCAGTCAGAATAACAGTTTATTTTGTTAGATTAGGCTGTATCCTTCCCTCTTTTGAAATACCAATGTTTGGATACGATTTTCATGTTATGAATTTGAAAATCTTGAAAAGATTTACTGTGATTCGAATTTATTAATATTATCCTGATTTTTTGGTCAGCATGCTTAAAATTATGAAAAACCTAGAAACTTTACTTGGTTCTTGAGCTAGTCATTTGAAGAGCCTGTCAACAGGTTAAACTTTGGATTTAAAGAATTAAAGTTCAAATTAGGTTTTTTCAGTCTTTGATAAACTCTGCTTTTTCTTGGCTTAATAGAGAAGTTGTTCGACTGCTCAGTGTGTATTTCTTTGTCGAGAATTCGTGTGTATCGAATGTGGTCGTATTTTGACTTCTTAAAAATGGGTGAAGTTTCAAGATCAAGCCATTCTATTTGTTTCATCTGCTGGCTTCCATATTTTTGATTGCCTGATATGATACCTGATATATAATACACATATACCTGATATTTAATATACATAAGATTGTTTGAAATTCAGAAAACAAATGACACAAATATACTGTCGAATGTCTATTTATCATGAAAAGAAAAAATTTTCCCTTTTTCTGTGATTTTCTTTACATTTTTATCATTAGTTGAACAGCTGTTGTTGCTTTATGATTGATCGTTTCAAGCCGAGTTAAGGAGGAAGCAGTGGTCGTATAGCTGCAACTGTTCCTCTCCCAAATAACAAGTTTTCAGTAATGCCTCCTGAACATTTTTGTTCTTAAAATCTTTACCATTTAATATAATGTGTTTCTGGATGAGAATCCATATTTCTCTGGTTGAAAGGAATTGTTATAATCCGTAGCTTGAAAAAAATCGTTTATTGATGCTTATCTTTCAGTCATAAGGTTATAAAGGTTCCATTGTTGATCTTTAAGCCTTTTTGAGATTTTTATCAAATAAACTTGGCAAGCAGAAAATCAGATCATCTTTGGTTTTTCGGATTCTTGTATAGTGTTCATTTGCTTTATGTGTTGGTTTGCATTTGCTGACATGAAGTTTATATATTTATATATAAATTTTTGGGATTTATAATATTTTTTTATACTTGAATGGGATTATGTATTTGTCTTAAAATATCTTAATGAATAATTTTTATTTACAGGCTATGGAGGTAGTTCGTAACAGTTTTTTAAAAGTGATCGCACAAAAGCCAAGATCGGATAACGTGCGCGATGACCTTTCAGTTGGTTATTATCTTACAACAGGAGATAGCCAAAGATTGAAAAGTATTGAACAGGCGCTCCAAGAACAGCGCCAGTTGCTCGAGACAATTGCTTTGCAAAGTCGTCAGGTACTTTGATTAGTTCTTCTTATCCTCCCTTTCTCTTCTTACATTCTCATCTAAATAATTCAGAAAATAAGAAATATATCTAGTAGCTCGAAATCTATCCGTAAACAACTCCGAATTTCCTGAATTTTGTTTACTTTCCCGATTGCCTTGCATTTGAACAAAGTATCTGCACAGTGGAATGTATAGATTCAAAAATTTAAGGATATGAATTAAAGTGTTATAGAAACATAAGGGTAGGAAATTTCAGTGATTATTTTCCAGGTCAGAATATTAAAATCTCTGTGTGTGTGTCTAATCATCATTTGGTTAAGAAACAATATGGTCTTTCTAGTAAATTTCTGGAGCTTGAAGTTGGGAATTCACGCATTTAATCTAATAATTAGTTATATATACTTACACTCTATCTATTCACTGCAATTTCGAAATCTTGCACCTATCGATTGTTATATCAGATAGGTGTATTGATTAAGTAACTATTTGATTGAATTAAACTAGATAACTGAGTTTTCATTTATTTCAAAAACTCCATGCATGATTTCACAGCTCATGTCAAAATGATATTTAGTGTTTCCCTATTTTCTTGCACAATTTTTTCGTCAAATTTAACTTATTTTTTGATTCATACTCAATTCAGGTTAAAAAAGATTTTCATTTTCTTTTTCTAATATAAGATTTTGTTATATCTGTTTTCGTTTTCGAACAACTAATTCCCAATGATCTTTCATTTGGAAGGTGTACATTGATCTTCCAGCCTAACTCGATTAATGATCCATTAATTTTTTTGAATTAGAAATTAATATTATAAATTTCGTACTTCATTTTATCTGCTAATTAAATTCTTTCGAAAGTGAAGTTTGCACCTTCACATTTAGTGAACAGATAATGAAGAAATGACTTATAGAATAACATATTAAATGTGTTTGTAGAATTTGTGTTTAAAAACCTTAAATAGTTTTCTTCTTGTTTCTGAGAATTCTATTTAGAAGATTCTTTGATATCAATGAAGAATGGATTTCTATGAGAATCAAAATACGTGATCTTGCTGCGAACTGAAATCAAATCTTCTGAATTTTCTCAAGAGTGGTAATGGGATGTCAGTTTTCCCAAAGTATGCGACAGTGTTTATCGTTGATATGTCTTCTCTTTCACTTCGAATATCGGTAATTATTGGTCTTGCCTCAAATACTCAAAAATGGAAGGAAGATGCCATACAGAGTTAGCATGTTTAAAATGAAAGCTATTTTTTTGTATTTGTCAAGATTTTACTTCGGCACAATTGATGTCTTCCATTCGGCGACTTTCTATCCTAGTATCTTTTTCTCAGTACGAATTTTGGAATTTTTTTATCGCCTCATTATTGACTGTTTGCTGGTCTAAGCCTGAGCTAGTTGTTTTGTTTATATCTCAGAGGGTATGAGGGAGGAAGGGCAGATCAGCAGCTCGCATACATTTGTAAAGTAAGTACGAATAGCAAATATATATTTTTTCGTGATGTTTAAAAATCTTTTTTTCTTGAATTTGATGAAGCTATACGCAAAATTTTCTTCAGCCTTCGATTTTTCCTGCTTGCTTTTCTTTCACTTGCGGAAATCAAAAATTGAAAAAGCGGGGAAAAGTAGAAGAAATAAAAGGGTGACTGATAAAAAAGATTAATGTTGGGAGAAGCTACTTAGTTGCTACTTAACACTTTCGTTTCAATAATCTTCTTTGAGAATAATTTGTAACGATCATTTTTGACCCTCTGGAGACTTTCATAATAGAACTCACTTAGGAACTTAGATATCAAAATTTGGGTTTTATACGATGAAATTTGCATCGAACTCAATATAATTTGAAGATCCTCTGTTTTGCATAAATTATTTTAATTATTTAGGTTAGCATCAATTTATGTTGCACTTTTAACCAGTCGTAGACAGTTATGATATTCATTAATTGTAGACGATGAGAAACACGGATATGTATTGGTAGAGCATTAATCCGTTATAATGAGTATGACAAAATAAATATTGATAATAGTTGTTGTCAAATTGTCAGTTGCATTAATGACAATAAGAGTAGTAATTGTTATTTTAAAGCAGGAAATTATTATCTTTAAAATGAAAAAGTGTTCATGACGATTCATTATTCCTTTACTGTTTTCATCCGTGTAAATTTCTTCTTTATTCACCCATGGTCATGTCGCATATCGGAAACACGAAACAAGGACCACTGCGCACATTTTCAAATATTCTCAAATTTCAAATTTATCATTCTTTAAACATCTGAAATATCTATTTTAGGAGTGAGAAATGTGGACTATTTCTTTATCCTGGAATCTCATAAAAAAAGAAGCTATGCTGCTGATTATGTTGCACTCTTCACTTCGTTTTGAATTTTTAGTATTGGTGAGCTTTTTCTCCAAGAAAAATATACAATTTTATGTGCTGCTGCATTGAAGGAGGAAGGATTCATTGTTATCATTTAAGAGTAACATAACATACTTCGAATCAACTAGAAATGTTAAATATTAATTTATGGTTAAATTGCTATCATTTAGATAGATCGTATGGAATTCAAAAAAGTGTTTATTTTAGTTAAATTTTTTTTTAATTCCTAGCTCTATTAGTTTTATTTTAATTTTTAAAAATATTGGACAAGCAATGGTCTGGCAATTACAAAAACAGTTTTAACAAATCAACGTAGCTAGTTGAGTACGCTAAAGGAAATTGTTATAAAAATTTAGTGACTGATGCTTAAATTCATGGAAAATGGCTGAGATGGAAAAAATGTGAAATTTAATGATTCGATTCATTTCCTAAATTGTTCTCACAGGAGAAAAAAAAACTTCGATTTTCTGGTTCTATCATCAGCACATTTATTGAAGCTGCTCCAATTGTCTTTTTTCATCAAATAGGACTTTTCAGCATTAATGTTTTCAGTATTTGACGCGGCTGTTCATTCGTCTGTTGAACTTTTGTTAATCTTTTCAGTTTTAACGAATATAATGAATAGGATGGCACTCACTGGCTGCGCAACTGTACACCACAGACAACTGTATGCATCTGTTGATGAGGAATGCCAAGTCTGACTTTAATATCACAGCAGGCTCCTCCAATGTGCTGTCCTAATTCAATCTTTAATTAGGCAGTTGTCGATCACTGTAACCACCCATCGTGATGGTATTAATTGATAATTATAATGGATCGAGGCTATGATGATGATAAGATTTCCTATTCCGCTCATCATTTTGCTAAAGTCAAATCGAAATGTTACCGAAACTGATTTTTTTTTCTTATCGTGAGCTTGATGTTCATATGTATGAAGAAAATAAATTGTTAGTGAGCTTGATGTTCATATGTATGAAGAAAATAAATTGATAGATAGTGAGCTTGATGTTCATATGTATGAAGAAAATAAATTGATAGATAGCAGGAGGAACTTAGTAGAAGATTGCTTTCAGTCATTAAGTAGCAGTTACTGCTTCTATTTATCTTGAGGCTACTAAAAACTGCAATTTTTTTTTTGAACTTCAATTAACCGTAGTGTTAAATGCTGTTGCTCTCACGCGATCAGAAAAAATGCACCGTTTTCTTATTCAAAGTTACATATGAGTTACTCTTTAATGGACTTTATTGGATGATCTACATTTTTGGTAAAATATGAACTGGCAAATTTGAGCATGCCTCAAATCTACATTCTGAATACTTTTATTATAGACATACTGTAGGTTTAGAATTAGAATTAAAAATTAATTATTCGGAACAGTAAAAATAGTTGTTTTGTTTGTCATTTGTACGTTTAGTCATGTTTCCACTTCTTTGGCTTCAACCTTGCCATATCTATGTAATACTTAGATGTAGAAGTAGATTTCGTCTTTGGATTATTCTTACATCCTTCTTTTCTGTTCGCTAATAATCAATAATTTTATATTCGTAAAGAACAGCTTCAATCAAATTTTGAATAAATATATTAAGTTTTCTGATCCTGACATATGTGTTAATATAGGTAGTTATTTTTAAAGACTTCCATTAGCACACAATGTTTGGATATAGATTATCGATTGATTTCAACTTGCAGCTTTTTGAAGCATGTAGAGCATTCTTGTAGTGCTTCAAAAATACTTTTTGCCAAAGAGTCGTTTTGTTTGATAATTTCAGGGACTTTATAGCTTTGAAGGTATAGATATGTGTTGAAACCATGAAAAAACACATATGAAAACATTTGTGATTTTCATTTTTAGCCGGTGCTAGACTGGTATGCTATATTTCACTCTACCAATACACTTCATCTCACTTTTTACCGTCTTTCACATATTTATCTATCTTGTGGTCGGCTAGTCTATCAGTATATTAGTTTTCGCTAGTCTACCAGTATATTAGTTTTCACTCCAATCCTCCAATCTTCTCCTACGTACTGTCGATTACCGTACTCGCGAGAATATATGTTGCATACAAGCTTTACATAGCGCAATATTGCGGTTAAGGGTGTTTTGGTTTTAATTATTCTTCATTTTTTAGATGATTAAGTTGATGATCTTTTGAATATTTAGATATGCGAGTAGTAACGCAGTGCCGACAGTAGTATGGTAGCGATGTGTACCAAGAGACAACTGTTTAAACTTTACAACGGATGCTTATATATCTTAGGCTTTTAGTTTCTATATTGTAGTGATATCCTCTGATGCTGTAATGAGCAGCAGTTGTGATATTGTCTCAGTCCTGATAGGTTACATATATCAGTCTCGGAGCTTGCCTAAATCAATTCGGCTTATAGGTGGATTATGCAATCAACTGTATTGAAAAAGTTATTTCCAAGATGTTTCTGTTAATATATACCGTTGTTGATCTATCTATCTATCTATCTATCTATCTATCTATCTAT